GGCCCTTGTCCTTCCATGATATGGAGTGATCAGTGATGCGCATCCGGTATGCATTTGGGATGACGTTATTCGGGGCACAGATTGGGTTGTAAAAACAGATATATGGGCCAATAAAGAGACAATTAGGTGCGCCCATCACAATAATGCCTTTCAGCTTTCTATTTCTGGTCTGATGAGAAAAACAAAATTGATTTTGTACCAAATTGCATGAAGAGTGAAACCAGAGAAACTCGATCGAAAATATATTGCAATTCGCGAGCTAAAATTCTCTTTTATACACTCATGGTAGGGGGTCCGGGAGGGACAACAGATAATTTTCCTGTGATTGAGGCTGATTTGCATTTCATTAGAGGATCGATAGTGGGGAAGAATTTGCTCAACGTCGTTTTTTGTAATACTGCCACATATATATCAAATAGTTTGAAGGGTGGAGTTAGCACCTCTACTGTTCTAGAGACTAAAAGTTTCATAGAGGATGGTTATGTATTGACAACCAACCAAATGATGACAACAACCAAAAGTCAAGACGGAACCTTCTAAGAAAAGGAAAGATCCTTCAACGGTTAATGGAATGGGGACTCCTCTTTGGCTTTAAGCTATAGGAACTTAGGAAACAAAGCATGTCAAACAATTAAGACAAATATACCACTTGATCAAAAGACGCTACAAAGAAGGGTGACAGAATAGTTTCAGAAAAATGTTGGACAAAAATGAAATTATGATAAAGGATGAGGATGCACAGGTTTACACAGTATTATGTTCTATTAGATCAGTTATTCCAACATTGGCCAAAAGGAAAAAAAAAAAAAAAAAGGTCCTCTAGAGCATTTACATAAGGCAACAGACTGCCACTTAACAACCCTTGTAAATGGTGCAAAAGTAGTCTCATACCTGTGTCTGGAGTCTGGAGCATTTACATGAGACAACAGACTACCACTTAACAACCCTTTGTAATGAGATAGGAAAAGGAACAGCTTAAGAGAAATTATTCTTCCTCTGCCACTTCCTCTGCCAATTGTGCTGGTTGAACTCCTGAAACAGTGAAACAAGAATGATGGATGTAACTGAAAATTGTGAAACAGATATTACAGATTGTGATTGTCAACACAAGGCCTAAAAAATGAAGTATCTTACCATGGTTGAAGTGGATCCCATGTCATAGCTGGAGAAACGGCTCAGTATGCTGCTGTGGTGAAATTGTATTTGAGAATGATAAGGATTTAGGTAAGGATCAGCATTTGGCTGATGAATAGGACCCATATCTTTAGTGAGAAAAGCAGATGTTTTATGCCTAAGTGGAGAATTAGAAGCTCTTAACCTTCCATTGTGCTTCATATTCACCTGACGGACCCCATGGTTACAGAGATGATGAACACCAGATTTGACACGTCCATGAGTAGAAGTTTTTCTATGTGTATTGACATACTTTCCTCTCTCATTCTCAGTTGTTTTCATAATTTGTGATGACCTTGAATGATGTACATGCTTATGATGTGTTGCACCTAAAACTTAATTAGAGAATGTCATTTGATTAAATTTCCAAAAAAACTGGACAGGAAGGTGAAATGCAGGAAAAAAAAATAGAGCTTCAACTAGTTTTTCTCTCACTTACCAACATTTGCAGATGGTTTCCTTGTTTTCCTCATTGCTTTCACCAGTCTTGCTGCTGTACCTCGTCTATGCTTCTCAGCAAGCACTTTTCTTCTTTCTGCTTCATTTTTCCAACACTAGAGGTGGAAAGGACAAAAAGTGAACAAACCAACAACGTATGGAGAATTGGGAGAAACGTGTATATTAATCCATGTTAACCCCACCCACCTGTCTGAAAGTTCTCAATTTATAAAGATTACGACCCTTCACAAGCATTGGAAACAGTGGGGGCAAATTCTTAGTTCCTTTGCTCCACAATACTTCAACCTTGTGTATAACAAACATGGATTAAATAGAAAACACTATTAGGTTGCAAAACAAACATTTTGCTGAATATTTCAATAAATGCTGTAACGGAACAAATTATCATCAATCTTCCATTGTCCCTTCATATTGTAGTTTATTAGACACTTTAAAAGTATGTACAACTTACACTTAGTAGACCAACTCTTGATATTCTTCCAACAATAAGAAAAAGCTTTAGCATTACCGTGAATGTATGCTGTTGTTTGGCTGCACCATAGCTTTCCTTAACAACCCTTCCAGCAACAGTTCTCCTCCCAAGACATCTCCCATGCCTCTTCACTTTGTCAAACCTGTATAAAGCAAAATGAACTTAGAAAAAGGAATATAAAATCTGAGGAGATTTAAGAAACAAGAAGATCCAGAACAAGGGGTTACTTCTCATGGACTTTTTGTGTGAACAGAACAACATCTCCCTTACAGACATCACCTGCATTATGTTATAAACTTTCCACCCACTAAAACAACAGAATATAATGAGATTAAAAGAAACAGGAGCACAAAGAAGACACTCTACCTGTACAATTGATGAAGAAAGAGGACCTAGGATAAAGCGCTTCACCATTCCCATCTTTTATTCTAAGGAGAAAAGATGAGAAAAAAGACTACACAATGAATCAATTCTCCAATCTTGAAGGTAAAAATTCACATATTACAAAATTAATAGAGACTAGGGCATGAATTTGATAGACTACTGGCTTCAAATCACCCTCTTTTTTTTTCTTTTTTTTTTTTATCACCACCTAAGCAACAACACAGCAATAAACTGAGCCCATAAATGGTGAACACAAGTCCAAGTAAATGGTGAACCAGGACCACTCACCTCCAATGCTCTACAATTCTCTGGATACACACTGCCTTAGTACCAGCAATTCGTAAGCCATGCTTCCGTAAATATGCTTTGCATTCTTTTAGGCTTAAAGCTTCCAGGTCACCACCCTCTACAAAACACAAACACCAAAATACCTCAATGTCACTATCAATTGATGCTAGCAAAAATTGTTAAAAATTAAGTAGCTCTTACAACCTTATTCCCTCTTTAATTAGTAAAAATCAAGCAACAATAATTTTTATTTTGCCACATTCACTCTCTATTTTACTTTATGTCCATATATTTATTTTTCAATAACCCAAATGTGACCTTTGTTTCTCATTCTGAGTGATAACGGATAATGGAACCAAATACTAGGAAATAACAATTCCATTCCAATCATTGTCTAGAGATAATTCAAGAATTAATAAAAAATAATTAACGAATTTAATCTTTTTGCATCAATCCAAATAATGAACCTAATTAGGTTGATGGAGGTGAAAAGAAAGGAAAACACCTTCAAGAAGGCAAATAACTCGATTGCAGAGAGACTCATCGTCATCTTCATCCTCGTTCTCATCACTATCATCCGATTCATCGTTTTCTGCTTCTTCGCTGGCAACCATTGCAGAAAACGTTCGGAAAATTCTTGAAAAAGAGACGATATTGCTTAAATAGGAACAGCGAAATTAACTAACCACCTGAAGAACCCGCGATCGCTGCTTTCCTCATCATCGGAATCGCTGTCAACTTCTCCTTCCGATTCTAGTTCATCTTCCTCATCGGATGAGAGGCAGATGAAAGTGCTTCTGCTCGCTCCTTCGGCCATCTCGCTCCGATCGGAAACCAAATTTCGCAAAATAAGATGAACTGAGAATCTCTTTCATAGCCCTCTTCCTGAAATGAAAACTTTTAAAATACCCGGTTAATTTGTGCTAATTTTTTATTTTTAGGTTACGTGTCATTCAACTGTCAAGTCGTACGACATGAATGAAGTGAGGGTGGAATAAAAAAAACAAATGCTTGTCATCAAATTTAAAAAAACCAAACAAAGAAAAAAGAAAAAAGTCATGCATCGAGTTGGTATACCTATATAATTTAATTGATATTTTCTTAATTTATTGTTTTTTTTTAAAAATATTTAGAAATCTTTATTTATACATTAATTTTAAGTATTAAATAATAAATATTAATTATTTTATTAATTATGATAAAAAGTGCAAATTTCCCTTAAAATTGCGTATCAAAGTAAATTGTTGTAAAAAAATATTAACGCAATTTATCATTTAAATTTTTTTTTAGAGAAATTATTTCAAAGTTAATAGTTACATGTTAACTTTTTATTAGATTTTAAAAATAATAGTTTAACTGAATTTAATGACAATTATTAAATTTAAATTAATTTTTTTAAAAATAAAAACTTTTGCTAGCAAATTACATCAATATTTTTTTTTATGATTTACTTTAATACGATAATTTTAAGGAATAATTTACACATTTGGCCAATAATTATTAATTATTTTTAATAACCAAATCAAATAAAATGAATATTTTAAGCCCAAAAAAAAAAAATCTGACTGCTATATTTCAATACAGAAAACAATGCTGGGTATTAAGAAATACTACAATGAAACAAAACTCTGTCTCTATTTTCATTTGGAAAAGAAAAATAAAAAGGAATTTTCATTTACATACTCTAATATATATAATTGTGTATCCATTACCCCGACCATCATGCACTATGTCAATCCTTTTTTTTTTTCTTTTAATGCAGTCTGTTAATCTAAATCATCCCCTAATATTTGAAAGTTGTATCTCATTTAGTGATATTCTGGCTTTGGACGGCAAACAGTACACTCAAAACCTAGTAAGTCTTAAAAAAAATAAAAAAGAAAAAA